TCCATATTGTTAACCGGTGTGACTTGTGCAAGGATGGTTTGGAGGCAATACCACACCTTTTCTTCCTTTGCCCCTTTACCTGTAGGGTGTGGCAGCAGGTTCGGAACTGGATGGGCTTGAGACATGAGATGACTACATTGTTGAGTGCAATTAAGTGGATCACAAAGACGCATAAGGGATCAAAGTTGAAGGCAAAGGCAACTCGCATTGCTTTCTGTGCTACTGTTTACTACATTTGGCATGCTCGCAACGAAATTGGCTTTGATGAAGGCAAGAAGACGGAAGAGGAGATTATAGCAAAGATCAAACACGTGGTTTATAAGATACTCTTGAGTATCTATCCGCATGAGTTGGTCATCTTTTGATGTGGACGCAATGAACTTCTTTGGGTGCCACGGAACATAGTAGTGTAGTGATTTGTGTGCGTGCACCTTGCAGCACCTCTGCTTTTTTTGCTTTTTGGGCCGAGGCTTTTTAGCGCAATGGCTTTTTGTGAATTTTGTATGATTGAAAAGCTTCTTCCAACCCTCTCCCATACGTATGTAACACGGGAGGGTGGGGGGCTTTAATTTTTGTACCTTTTGCTTGGATGATATATATATTTACGGTTCATCCAAAAAAAAGAAATATCTGATATGCACTAATTAGTAGTGCATAAATGTATGTTTTTATATTTGATTTGTGTGGATTGTTTATCGTTTTATGTAGTTTGTAAACATTTGTGTGATTTTAGTTGTAATTGTATTTTAATCTTCATTTGTAAGTTGTAAAGTAGAATTAGGAATTATGTTTTTGAAAAGGAGGACTTTGAAGTGAAGAAAAAGGAATTTTGACTGTCCATGAGCAAATACCCGACCGGGTAGAAGACTTCACCCGGTCGGGTCTGATTTAACAACCGAAGCATCACAGGAAACCACCGGACCCGGTCGGGTCCTCTACTTGACCCGGTCGGGTCTGACTTGACCCGAGACAAAATGACGTGCCAAAGATCACCAGAACATGGAGGATATCTGATTTTGACCGGACCGGTCCTAGAAAATCAGGAAATCACACTTCAGCCGCACATGCGGCGCCAAACGGGAAACACGTAATATCGATTGGGGAGGACTCACAGGTTTATCTGTGGAACTACGAGGACAGAAGAGTCTAGGACCCCAAGCAGGTGAAATCTGAGCGTTCATTCGAGCATTTCATCTCGGAGAGCCGGTCGGGTAGGTACCTAACCCGGTCGGGTACCCGGCCCAAGGTGTTGAAAAACACCTATAAATAGCACACTTTTCCTTCACAAATAATCGCTCCTTCTTCCATACTCTTAAGCTCAACTTAATTAGAATAGTATTTCTTTTATAATTTTATAGCATGTTTGGTCTCCAAATGAGGAGCTAAACTTCCATTTCTTGGTGTTGTCTTGAAGCTTGTTGATTATTTTAGTTGTGAGTTATTTTCTTAACTTCTTCCCTTGAAGGTTTCACAAGTAACTTCGGTTTATTAATGCACGGTCGTGGTTAATAAACTTAAGAGGGATTAATTTTGTTGGTTAAACCGAAACCGTTGTGTTGAGGTTATCAATCTCATCAATTGATTTCATCAAGGAGTTAAGAGATTAAATGCTACTATCAAGTCGGTATATGGCAGTGTTCTATACTTGACTAATAGTAAGGGTTATTAATGAACGGTCTTTGTTAATAACTACCCTCGATGAATTGGATATACTCCTCTCGAATTGAGTATTCGAGAGGGGATAAGTTATAGATATAACATTGATCGACTAAATACATCAACAAGTGGAAAGTAGCAAGACCAAGTTCTTTTTATCTTTGAATTAAATCACATATAAGTTGTTCATCTTGGTGTTTAAATTAAGGCTAAAGCGTCAAATAGGCCCTTGAAGTAGCTTAAAGTGTTCAATTAGCCCCTTATATAAGAGGTTCAGCCCGGCCATCGCCAATTGGGGAGGTTCCCGGTTGAATTTTTTGATGAAAGTTTTTGAGCATCTTCTTCATTAAGAGTAGTTTACCCATATCAAATTTCAGCTAAAACTTCAACCATGAAGGCAGTCAAATGATTTTTTGAAGATAACTGCCCAGTTAAGCAGCGCGGTACATTTCACAAAATCATTTGACTGCCTTCCCTATTTAAATTTTAGCTGAAATTTGATATGGGCAAACTAGACTTAATGAAGAAGATTCTCAAAAAAATTCATCAAAAAGTTCCACTGGGAACCTCCCCAATTGGCAATGGCCGGGCTGAACCTTTTATATAAGGGGCTAATTGAACACTTGAAATTAGTTTAAGGGCATATTTGACCATTTATCCTTAAATTAATTAAATTCCAACAATCCCAAAACCCCCCTTTTATTTACTAGTTTTATAAAAAGAGAATTATTCATTTCCCTGTGGATACGAACTCTACTTCACTATACTACGTATTAGTGCAAGTATTGAATTTATTTTGATGCACTATGACAAAGTGCCCGTCAGTATCTCAGCACCTCACAGTTACCTCCCACCATGCAGTGATGCATCGGAAACTCTCAATGGTCATATACTCATATACTAGTCAAAGGGCTTTACTTTTATATTTCGTGTTGGAATATCAATTATAAAGATGCTCCTGAGCTCCACTAGACCATAAACTTCATCATTTTGTAACACTAACACTGTTATAAGTAATTTTAACAGAATAAAAAATGGGATTTGAATAGCAGAATATTGTTATTTTAGTATTTATATGGTTATAATAACGAAATTTCAATCTTCAACACCCGACACAACTTAGGGTTGGTTTGCAATTGCTTTTAAAAAAGCACTTCTCAGCTTTTGGCTTTAAAAAAGCACTTAGTTTCCCAAACACTACAACTTTTATTTTTCTCGGCTTCCGCTTCAAAAGTGCTTTTACTTTTTCTATTACACAAAAAACACTTATTTTACCAAACACTACCCACTTTTACTTTTCAAAATCACTTTTTTCTTAAACACTATCAACTTTTATTTAATCACTTCTCCCCATTTCATTAAAAAAAGCACTTTTTAAAAAGTAAAAGCTGTTGCAAACAGACCCTTAACCTCTTGGTTGTATCTATCATCCTACTCTTTTTGCTTCTCCAGGGAGAAAGTGAACACAACTGTTTAAATATTTCATACTATGTATATATCTCCTAGTTCTTTGGCGAAACAACTAGAGTCATTTTGCTCGTACATACAAAACCATAAGCCCATGGTAAAATTCTGTCACATTTTTTATTCGATCATGTTAGAAACCAAACAACATGTGCAATGTATCGACTAAAAACCAAACAACATGTGGAATCTATCACATTTTTACATTTTTTATTTGCATAGTTATTCACTTCTCAATTCAATATCGGGTATCCGGCCAGTATGAAAAGCAAACATTAAACTTGAAAGTATTGACTAAAAAGCATGAAAATTCGTCTATGATAATTTACAAAGAATGTCTCTTACAATTTGTAGCATTACATGGGGAAAACATGACAAGATGACCAAATTTATCTATTCAATACTACGTATTACAAAAGACAACTACATTATGCATATTATGAAAACTAGCAATCCAAGGCCCTGCATACACCCATATAATGAATGAAGAGATCAATCTCTCGCACATGAAGATTATGTCAATAACAACCTTTTTCTATTGAGATGTGCCTGCTAGCGAGATACATACCACTTAGGCTTGTTGTAATCCTTCAGAGTATTTTCCTCCTGTACCAAGCATTGGTACTTGTACCAAAATGGGAAGGCAAACAATTCCTCAAGAACTGTGTGTAAATGAATACTTCGTACTTCGTATAACAGTGGGTGTGCACAAATACATACAAACATTTTATAATGCTCCAAGCATTAAAAAGCATATAAGCATGTACTGTATATTGAATCACAAATTGTAAACTAAATCTTGAAAAACTAAGGTTTCATGAAACAATCATACGGAGTAGTTGATCAAGTGGTTTGGAATTTAGTGAAGTTGGAAAACCAGCCCAGAGACCCAGCCGGATTTTCGTTTCTCTACCCCTTTTCCTGGCTTCTTCGCCTCCCAAAGACCCAGACGCCTCTCGCCACTCTTCTTTCCCCGATAACTCACAAACGTAAGATGATAAATTTGGTTGGGGATTAGGGGAAGGACTTCAGTGCAATAAACATATTTTTAATAAAAATACTGAGCTGGATTAAATTACCAATCAAATGCTGCCAAGTGTGGAATGCACCAAAACATCCCCAAACACAAATGCACCGTAAAATTTTCCTAGTGAATAATGGAGTGACACGTGTCAATGTGACCTCCAATTGTACGTATAATATATATCTATAGATATAGATATAGATCGAAAAGGAACGACCGCAAATTGTTTAATATCCGAAGACTACTTTAGCGGTACTTGGACTTGGTTAGTGGTTAGCATATACTACGGGTATTCTCTAGGGATATATCCCAACGGTTCACCTCACAATCATGCATGTGAAAGGTAACAACTTTATAAGAAATCAACGTTATTAGTTTAAGCAAAGTTAGACAAACCCGGCTTCATTTATAAGAGAGGATTCTGACTCCAGGAGCAGAACGGTAGTTCTTCGTTTATATATTCTATATTCTATTTTTACTAATCCCCCTTCCTAACAGCTTTCCTGGAAGAATAGGCGGGAATAACAATGTACTGAAGTGCAGTTTCGGATGATACTAAATAAGTTCATTTGATTAAGTAGTCATTACAATATTATCCTCCATACTCTGTATAGGGTTATAGATGTATCTCAAAAGTAAAAAATGCAAAATTTGTTAAATAAGAAAAGAGATCATTATTAGACATCTTTAAAACTAGCACATCTAAGGCTACAGGGCACCTTTTGGATCAAACGACAAACACATGTACTGTTTCATTTTGAGATGATTTTGTGCTATAAATAATTATGATATTTTGCAAATACAGATTAAAACTTCAAAGTTGCAGCAATGCTCTCCGGCTCATTTGCAATTTCTACGGCTGACCTATAGTACATATACTTGTCCAAGTATTTGAAGCAAAAGATTCCTCTTACCAATTGTTGCTAATGAAATACTTCGTATCTAACAATTCATTGTATTATGAAGTACTCCGTACCTTTTAATGCATTTTGGAACATGAATTTTGAAAGCCACAATTCATTAGTGTGTTACACCCTGTGAGTAGTTAACTTAGGAGTTAGGACCCAATATTACTTTTTAAAACCTTTTAATACCCTAAATGGCTGCCACGTGAGTGACAGGCGCAAGAACAAATGAAGACTATAATTGTGCGACCACCAACACCGGCCAACGGCTACCAACACCACCGAGCTACTAGCAGATGTGAATCAGAGTTTTTTTGGAAGTGTTATTAAGTTGCTCAAGTGTTTTTTTATTGGAAATTTGGAATTATGTGTTTGATTAGGATTGCGGCGGATCCGTATCCGCCGGAGGTCCCCAAGCTATAATTATTTTGCATTAGTTCAGATTTACTTTTTTTTATTACCGGTGGCGGTTTGGGATGAGGCAGGCTCGTCGGCGTCGTGGCTGCCGGCACTCTCCTCCTCGGCCGTCTCCGGTTCCATTTCCTCTGCATCTTCATCCTCAAGCTCCTCTTCGTCAATGGTCGTCAGGATTTGTTGTTGTTGTAGAAAGCGGTTATTATGTCGGGCCAATTCTTGTTGTAGTTGTTCTTCGGACATCGCATCTCCATCCCGCCTTTGGTAACCCGTTTCAAAATCATCTCGGCTTTGAGATGAAGAACCGGCAAGTTCTTTACCTTTGCGGGATTTCTTCCTCCCAATCTCGTTCCTTCGATTGCGTTGGAGGTTACCCAAATCAACCGAATATCTACCACCTTCCATCTAAAAAATGTAACAAATATTAATTCGCAACAAATATAATAATGAATACAAAACTAATGCAACTAATTAAAACTATTTTAATTAATACTTCAAACTAATTTAGTGCAAAGTAGAATTAATGTGTGACTCTAAAATTAAAATTATAACAACTTTTCAAGTACTTTAATTTAGTAAAAATGTAACAAGAATGCTAATGAACTAATTAACTAGTATAATGAAAAATGTAACGAGAATACTAATTAACTAATTAACTAGTATAATGAAAAATGTAACAAGAATGCTAATGAACTAATTAACTAGTATAATGAAAAATGTAACAAGAATACTAATTAACTAATTAACTGGTATAATACTAGTTATAGTAACTAATGTATAATACAATGTTTATAGTATATAATATATAAGTATACTACTATAAGATGAGTAATACACTTATATTTTATACTTTAATATATAAACTATATATTAAGTAGATGTAGAATGTATGTATTAACTATTAAATGGATATAATAATTGTATAAGAATTAAATATTAGAGTATAATGGAGAATTGGAGATTGGAGAATATAAGAAAATAAGTATATAAAAATATAAGTAGAGAAGTAGATATTATTATGTATTAAGTATATAGTAATAGTTTATAAAGTATATTTAATACTTTAATATATAAAGTATATATTAAGTAGATGTAGTATGTATGTATGTATGTATTAAGAGATATAAGTAGAGATTAAGTAGATAAGAAATATAAGTAATATAGTATATATATGTATTTATAAGTAGATAATTAATATATAAGTAGATATAATAATTGTATAAGTATCAAATAGTAAAATAAAATATAATGGAGAATAAGAGAATTTGAGAAGATGAATATGGAGATGAGTAGAGAGTAGGATTTAGGAAGAGTTGGAGAAGAGGTGTGAAAAAATGTTTAAAATTAGGAGTATTTATAGTTTTTTTAACCCCCACCCCCCCAAAGGCCCCGGACCCTCCTGGTACCTACCCAACGGCTATATAGCCATTTGGGAAGTGGGTCAAGTGCCCAAAAGGCTTTTTTAAATTAAAAGGAAAACAAGTTTTTTTTTAAAAAAAAATTGGACCGTTAGGCCTGGGCCCGGGCCGCCAAAAACAACACCTGAGCCCGGACCCGCCACCCCCACCGGTTCGGTGCCCGAACCGGACCCGGACCCGAGAACCGGGCCGGTTCCGGGCCGGTTCCGGGCCCGCACAGTAACGGGCCGGGCCGGTCCCGGGCCGGGCGGCCCAAACCGGGTCCACCACTAGTGTTACATATAAAATGTACGATTATATCATCCCTCCATCAATATACCTAAAATGCGGTTGAATGAGTTAAATCATACTCTGTATGGTATTATACATCACATACTCTGATTTTAGTTGTACATTTCAATCCATTAAATTAACAATGATGTTACGGTTGAAAATAAGACCCGAAAGTTATTAATATAGGATGAAAATGAGCCTGGGGTAGGGCGAGCATTACATCTAAAGATGTACGATCATAACCCTCCATTAGATTATCTAAACGTCAATGAGCAAAACCATATAATATTAAATATCGAGTACACTGGTTTTAGTCGTATGTTTCAATCCATTGAAACCATTCATTGAATTGACACAATCCATTGAATTGACACAGACATTGCAACCGAAAATAAGATGATATTACTCTATGACGAAAATTAGTTACATTTCCTACAATGCCTCTTGTTGGACATTACATCTTAGTTTTGAATATCTTGGTTGAGGTTGGGAATTTAGTCTTTAATCTATTACATAGTAGTTGAGTAACAAACATATATAACTCTATGAGCTTATAGTTACGTCAATGAGCTATTTTATTTACATTATTTTTTCGGATGTGTAAGGAAAGAGAACCCATGCGCTTCATTATTTTATTTCAATTCTATAGATTAACTCCTCAAATCCAAATAAAGAAATTAACCTAAACAGGAATAAAACATAGAATAAATTCCTAATCAGGAGTCTTTTATCCATAATATACCTCTTATACCCCTTATAATAATTAAAACCCCTATTCCCCAAATCAATTCACGATCCTTTGGCTTCCGGATACCCTCACCCTACCACCACACCATATCCCCTACTGCACCCCCCCCATTGCTACCCCTACCCCAATTCTGTGGGGGTGGACATAAGTTAGGGGTGTGGTGGGGTTAGGATAGGGGTAGGGGTAGCGGGTAATGTGGGGGTAAGAGGTGGGTGGGGGTAAGAGGTGGGTGGGGATGAAAGTGATAATAAGGAAGAAGTGAAATTCTTAAATGTTATAATTGACAATTGACCTACTGTTGAGGTTTAATCTTGTAGATCCGAAAGCCCAACATAAACTTTGGATATTAGGGACGATGAATTCGGTATAAAAGTGAATAAACTAGCTATTTTTACGTGGAAACCCGAAAAGGGAGAAAACCACGAGACTTTTTAGGCTAACGTCCAAGCCCGCTCTTTCTCATTAATAAGCTCTCCTCACCATTTTACATAATACAAATATTGCACTCCATTAATGTGAGCTAATCTAAGGAGAGGGAAGAAGATATAGGGAAGAAAAATTCCCAGGAGAGAAGAGCCAGGATCCGATCCCTTCAAATGGAAGATTAGCTTTCTCATGGGGGAGGCCAATGGGGGGGGGGGCTTTTCTCATGGGCCAATGGGCCAGTTGGGCCTTTAACGGGCCTAACTTCTATCCTAGCAGGCCGATTGGGCCGAAAATAAGTTGGGCTGTCCTAAATGAGCCTCGCTGATCGGGTCCCGTACCGGGGCGGTGTCTTGGGCATCTGAACAGTAGTAGGCCGGGGTATGACGTGATGGCAGGAGAGGACAGCTGGTTTGAGGAAGGCAAAGTATGACCTATAGGAGAAAGGGGGAGGTCTGTGACAGTGTTTTGAATTGGGGAGCTGTCTACCGCAGGTGCAAGCGGTGTAGGTGAGGTTTGGCTGACATTACTAAGGGGTAGAAAATTGTTGGTTAGTGGAAACGGGTTGGAGGGAGGAAGAAGAGCAGTACCAGATTTGGGAAGGGTTTTGAAGGGATATATATCCTCATGGAATCTAACGTGACGACTAACATAGACACGACATGTGATAGGATCAAAACAACGACAGCCCTTGTAACCAGATGCATAGCCAAGATAAATACATTGAACAGACCGTGGCAAAAGTTTATTGGCCGAAGTAGCAGAAAAATTGGGATAACATGTCGTACCAAACACCCGCATAAAAGAGTAGCCCGGAACCTGATGAAAAAGTTTTTGATACAGAGAAAAACCGTTTAAAGTAGGTGAAGGTAATCTATTAATGATATATGCAACAGTAAAGAGTTTCTGCTGCATAGTGTGAGTTAATTCTAGGAGATGGCGATGTTTGAGTTCAGCAACCCCATTTTGTTAGGGTGTTTCTGGACAAGATTTTTGAAAATAAATTCCATTTGATGTAAAAAATTGCTGCATAATATGATTAACAAATTCACCTCCTTCATCACTTTGAAAATTTTTAATTTTCTGATTAAAAAGATTTTCAACCAAAACTTTAAAATTTTTAAAGTGCATGAATACTTCATTTTTACGACGCATGGGATAAATCCAAGTAAATCGAGAATAATCATCAATAAAAACAAACATAATACTTGAATCCCAAATTAGAACAAGCAGGAGATTGGCACACATAAGAATGAATAATTTACAACGGAAGAGAACAAATATGACTAGCATCCTTAAAGGGCAAACATTGTGATTATCCTAATCGACAAGCAACACAATCATGGGTAAAAGGAGTGCGATTACATAAAAATTGTTGACGTTTAAGAAACTGTAAAACTATGTCACTACAGTGACCTAGTCTACGGTGCCACATAGGGCTAGAAGCAAGAACAGAAGCTAGGGAAAAAGACGGAGATGACAACAGGCTGATAGGATAGAGAGGCCCGCTACTGGTAGCTCGCAGAAGTACTGCCCCCGAGGCTTTGTCCTTAATCAAAAAAGATTTTTTTAATAAAAAATGACAGTACAGTTGTTATCAACGCAGAGTCTCTGAATAGAAATTAAATTATATTTTAACTGAGGTACATAATAAATAGATTTTAATGTGAGGGGTCGACCAGATGAAGGTAATGCAATATCACCAATATGACAAATAGGCAAATGGGCACCATTAGCAACACTAACAGAATTAAAGCCAGTGTAAGGAGATTTATTAATTAAATTACCTTCGGATGCGGTCATATGAGCAGAAGCTCTCGAATCAGGATACCATTAAGCAGAATTAGATTCACCGGGAGTAGTCAACAGAGCTGGCGCCGACGACTGGTGAAAACGAGACGGGCAAGTAACCACAGAGTGACCTGCAGAGAAACAAATTTGACACACGACAGGAGGGGGAACTGACCCAAGAATATCCGCATCTGATGACAAGCCTGCAGACCCACGGTTAGTAGCACAAACAGATAATGCATTAATATTTATATGTGACACAGGAGAATTACAAAATACAGTGCCAGTGTGAGGTGAGCACTGAAGGTCTAATGAAAAATGGTGTTTTCTTGGGATTGAAGATAAAGAACCTGCTGTTCTAATTCAAGAAGGTGATTGTGAAGTGTCTTAAAAGGAAAGTGCTGAGGAAATAGAGACACTGTGGTGAGCAATGACTCATACTCCGGTCCTAGGCCCATAATGGTGGTTTTTAATACTTCGCGTGGAGGAACGGGGCAATTAATAGTGGCAAGATCATCAACCAAAATTTTAATCTCGCGCAGATTATTATCCATGGACTGATCAGGTTTCTTTTTAACTTGAGAGAACAGACGCTTTAATTCCATAGAGCGGGCTAAACTGACAGACATAAAACGAGATTATAACCGTTCCCAAATTTCAAAAGAATGTTTTAAGTCTCGAACATCAATAAGCACATCACGAGAAAGGGTGGCAAATAACCAAGAACGAATGGTTTGATCAATACGCAGCCA